TCTCTAGTGTCTTCTATGCTTTTTTCAAGCCCAGCTAGTATCTTTATAATCGTTATTCTGAACTCTAGTTCCGATATCTGACTTATATCTGTACTGATTAGGTCCCTGGCAGTCAGTACTGCCTCTTGTTCTCTTTTTTGAGGTGAGTTTTTCTATCTTGTCATTCTGTCCAGAGAACAACAGATGAATGAGAGAACAAAATAAAATGGCAACAACAACCCCAGAGAAATAATACACTAAACAAATCAGGAGAGACCCGAAACCAGGAAAAAAAATTAAAGAAAAAAAAAGAATATAATCAGACAGGTGAGCAGAATAGAGCAATACACTGGATTATGTATGTATTTTGGTCTGTTTTTTAGAAAACTAGATCCCAAAATTGTAAAGAAGAAAAACATATGTACAAAAATAAAATTAAATACAATGAAAGAATAGAATGTAACTGTAAAAATTGAAATTAAAAGGCAAGAAAAAACAAAAGAGGAAAAAAATCCAACAACAACAAAAAGGAAGGGATATAAACAAACAGGTGAACCGAACAGAGCAATACACTATCTCCTGAGTGGTTTTTGTCAATTTGTTAAAAGAAACTATATCTTAAAATAGTAAAGAAAGAAAAATGTATATATACAAAAATAAAATTAAGTACATTGAAAGGATAGAATGTAACTGTAAAGATGAAAATTCAAAAAGATTTTAACAAAACAAAAACAAAAGGAGGAAGAAAAAACAAAAAGAATATGATCAGACAGATGAATAGAACAGAGTCATTCACTAGATTTTGGGTGTATTTTGGTCTGTTAGAAGAAAACTGCATCCCAAAATTGTAAAGAAAGAAAAACTTATAAACAAAAATCAGACTAAATACAATGAAGGGATAGCCTATAACTGTAAAAATGAAAATTAAGATTTAAAAAAAGTCGATAAAATAAGAAATTGGTTGAAAAGGAAAGAAAAAAAGTTAACTTTGAAAGACTAAAGAATCATAGGAAAAAAGCCATGAATTCTTTGTGGGTTGTTTTGTTTTTCTTATTTTATTTTATTTTATTTTATTTTATTTTATTTATTTTATTTATTTTATTTATTTATTTTTTTATTTTTTATTTTTTATTTTATTTTATTTTATTTTATTTTATTTATTTTATTTTATTTATTTTATTGTGTTATGTTAGTCACCATACATTACATCATTAGTTTTTGATGTAGTGTTCCATGATTCATTGTTTGCGTATAACACCCAGTGCTCCATGCAATACGTGCCCTCTTTAATACCCATCACCAGGCTAACCCATCCCCCCACCCCCTCCCCTCTAGCACCCTCAGTTTGTTTCTCAGAGTCCATAGTCTCTCATGGTTCGTCTCCCCCTCCGAGTCCCGCCCCTTCGTTTTTCCCTTCCTACTTTTTTTTTTTTTTTTTAAATATATATTCTATGTGCTGTATTCCCCTAGCGCTGGAGTTTTGCAGTTCTCTTTGATGGGTAAACTTGGTCTTGGCTGGATGTTCTTGCTGATCTTCTGGGGGAGGGGCCTGTTGCAGTGGTTCTCAAATGTCTTTGCCCGAGGCGGAATTGTACTGCCCTTGCCCGTCTGGGCTAAGTAATCTGTTCCGGTTTGGTTTGCTCTACGTGTCTTTTGTTCCCTGAAAGCTTTCCATGCAGCATTAGAGGACAAGAATGAAAATGGCGACCCCCCTATCTCTGGCCCTGGAGGAGCCGAGAACTCGGGGCCCCGCTCCTCAGTGAGCCCCCAGAGAAAAGCAGTCAATCACTCCCATCTCCCCAGTCTCCGGCCGCTCTCCGTGCTCACCCGGCCTGTGACAGAGCGTTTCTATCTCTGGCACATGACCCCGTGTGGAGTCTCCAAACCTAGCAGATCCGTGCATGCGCTCCCACGCCGCTCCTCCCTGGGGAGGAAGGGGCATCTCCCCGGATCTCCCGCTTGTTGGGTCCCTGCTGGAGGAGCAGTGGCCTGACTGTGCCACAGATCACTGTTTATGGCAACCCTGAGCTGAGAGCCCACGCCTCGGCTCCATCTCGGCAGCCGGCTTCTCCGCTCTGATACCTGGGAGCTCTGCTGCACTCAGGCACCCCTGGTCTTTCTGTGACCCTAAGGGTCCTGAGACCACACTGTCCTGGCTAACACTGCACCCTCACTTAGGCACCTGAGCAACATCCCTCACTAGAGCAGACCTCTAAAAGTTCCGATTTTGTGCTCTGCTGCTCTATCACTTGCTGGTAGCCGGCTGATGGAGGCTCTGACCCCCCACCCCTGCGATTAATCTTCCCATGTAACACCTGGGATTCACTTCACACCTCCTACCTTGCAGAAAGTGGTCGCTTTTCTATTTGTAGAGTTACAGCTACTCTTTTCTTAGATCCCCGTTTGAGTTCGCAGGTGTTCAGAATGATTTGATAGCTGTCTAGCTGAATTCCTGGGACCAGATGAAATTAAGGTCTCCTACTCCTCTGCCATCTTGGACTCTTGTCCCCCCCATTTATATTTTCTTCTAAGAGTGTTATAGTTTTAACTCTTCCATTTTGGTTTTTAATCTATTTTGAGTTAATTTTTTTGTATTTGATATAAGGAAGTGTTCTAACTCTATTCTTTTGTATGCAGCTATCCAGTTGTCCCAGCACCATTTGTTGAAAAGACAGGAGCGCCTGGGTGGCTCAGTCATTAAGCGTCTGCCTTGGGCTCAGGTCATGGTCCCAGGGTCCTGGGAACAAGTCCCACATCGGGCTCCCTCTCCCTCTCCCACTCCGCCTGCTTGTGTTCACTCTCTCACTGTGTTTCTGTCAAATAAATAAAATCTTTAAAAAAAAAAAAAGACAGTTATTTTTCCATTGAATTGTCTTGACATCCTTGTTGAAAGTCACATAATGGGCGCCTGGGTGGCTCAGTTGTTAAGCATCTGCCTTCGGCTCAGGTCATGATCCCAGGGTCCTGGGATCGAGCCCCGCATCGGGCTCCCTGCTTGGCCAGGAAGCCTGCTTCTCCCTCTCCCACTCCCCCTGCTTGTGTTCCTTCTGTCACTGTGTCTCTCTCTGTCAAATAAATAAATAAAATCTTTAAAAAAAAAAAAAAGTCAAGTAACTATAAATGTAAGGATTTATTTCTAGACTCTCAACTGTATTCCATTGGGCTACATGTCCATGCATTTATTTTTCTTTCATTCATTCTACAAAGATTTATTGAGTGTCTTTATATGGCAAGCATTGCTTGACACGTCCATGTTACTTGCTTTTGGGAACTAAACTGTCCCTCTTCGAAGCCCAAATCATCTTCAAGAAACACATTCTAACAGGATCTTGCATCTCTTTTTCTTAATGAGATATGAAGTGATTTCCTTTCATAGCCACACCCATAGAGACAATACTATCTCTGATTTGTACACAGTCTTTTGGCAAGTTGTTTCTCTGTTTTATAAATGTTCAGAAGTCTGAGTGTGTTTTAGAAGGCTTGGAAAGGTGAAAATTGGTCTAGGATAGTCCAGTGGATGTATTGAAGAAGAGGTTAGTTTTAGAGTGGAAGGAAGATGTGCAGCCATGATGAGGGCTCCTGGCAGGTATGGAATGGCCCACATGCAACCTGAAATGTCCAGGAAGTTGGTAAGTGTAGTTGCTGCTAGTAGTAAGACCAGTGAGAAATGACAAAGAGGTGAGGATGGAGGAGCTGCTAAATTGGGTACCCATAATTCTGCTTCCAGATTTTATTTTAGTAGCAGTTCCTTACCAGTATAAAGTTACAATGAGAAAATGAGGCTTACAGATAATGGCTTATTGCTGGGTTTAAGATGACCTAATGGAGGCAAGAGTTTTTTGTAATGGTGGTGGCTGGTTTCTCCATAGGGGTTGTGATTGTAGGAATTCAAAGGAGAGGCCAAAGAAATTTAAACTTAGCAGAACTTAATGGTTATCTAAAATAACTAATGATTCCAGTGTTATAACTTCAGGACATTGGAAGGATAATTATACCAATGTTTATTGTAATGAACAAGGTGAGAATGATTTATAAAGATAATAAACTTTGATTTTTGTATGCTTATTGGCAAAATATTCAAGTGAATTTTAAAAGATAATTTAACCATTAGATAATACATCAATATACAGTATAGATAGTACATATGATATGCAGGAGTTGCTAATGTTCATTAGATACAAATACAGTTGATTTCCCTTTTATAGGTGCCTATTCATTTTTGAAACCCATAGTATAAAATGACCTTTCAGTGTCTAATTTTAGTGGTTAAGCGATGGTTTTGTTTTCTCTATATGATAAATGTAAAATATATTGCACTTGGCCAGTGATTTTGAAAGGCTTTAAGAAAGGTACCTAGAGGGGCACCTGGGAGGTTCAGTCGGTTAAGCGTCTGCCTTCGGCTCAGGTCATGATCTCAGAGTCCTGGGATCAAGCCCCACGTCAGGTTCCCTGCTCAGTGGGGAGCCTGCTTCTCCCTCTCCCTCTGCCCCTCCACCTGCTTGTGCACTCTCTCTCAAATAAATAAAATCTTAAAAAAAAAAAAAAAGGGTACCTAGATTCCATGATATACTGTTGGCATTAACAATATTATTGTTTTGGGGGGAAGCAATATTAGAGTTTTGGAGGGAAAAATTTGGAGTTTTGGGGGGTTTTTTTTTGTTTTTTTTTTTAAGATTTTATTTATTTGTCAGGAGAGAGAGAGTGCACAAGCAGGGGGAACTGCAGGCAGAGGGAGAAGCAGGCTTCCCGATGAGCAGGGAGCCTGATGCAGGGCTCGATCCCAGGACCCTCAGATCATAACCTGAGCCGAAGGCAAACACTTAACCGATTGAGCCACCCAGGCATCCCTGAAGGAAAAAAGTTTTTAATATTGACTGTATTGAAAAACAGTTTATATAAAGTTTCAGTTGCCCAAGATGGTTTCATGTCTAAACAGTAAAATTGAATGGTTCAGAAAATGTATTACATGTTGAAACTTAGTACAATATACATTTATTTACCCATCCTAAAATTTCTTTCAGGAATTGTTCCATCTTCTGTTGTCCTGACTTCTTTCCAGGTGATGTCAAGAGTTTTTCTGATATGGGCAGTAACACATAGCGTCAAAGAGGTAAGTGTTTACATAGACTAAAATTAAGTAATGCCAGCAATGCTAGTCAATGCTAGTCAACTTTTCTGTTTCGTGTGTGTTATGGCTACAGATGGAACTCTGTGTCACATCAGTATAGCCCAAATAAAATGCATATATGTCGCTGTAGGAACTGGGTTACTGGTGCGAAACATAACTCCAAATTTGCAGTGTTGTTAAAGAGAAGACTGGTTAAATGATAAAGTCCTGCAATCTTAGTTCCCATAGAGATTCGGATAATGTGGATGTGGTCTGCAGTTTAGTTATATTTTGGGGGTATCTTGTTTGTATTCAGCATACGAAACTGGACATCTGCATCCTTACAGTGGAACTGTTGGCGGAGTTGGGAATATTAATTCAGTCCGGAGCAGTCCTCTTAATAGGACGAGGAGAAACAAACTTGTTTCCACCCCACCCACCAGGATTAATGGAATTCCCAAATGTGCTGAGTCTACTGGTTCTGGAAGGGAAGTACTCTGCAGGGGGCCTGGGGCGATAGGTACCCAGGCAGGCCCGGTGTTGCTGGGAGAAAGCCAGCATTACTGTCGGTATGAATCCACAGCTAAGCTTTCATTTTCTAGTATCGGAGAAGGGGATTGTTTTCCTGTATGTTTTTTGCTTTTTAAAAGTTTTATTTATTTCTTGTTAATGTCACCTTGAAATAGAGTACCTGTAGCCACCAGGAGGATTCATTTTTCAGTTTTTTGGTCCCAGTCACCAGCAGTATTGGAATCTTTGGGACTCATGAAATGTGCTTATCCATTAGCATTATTCTGGTGTTTTCTTTGTGTTCTATTCTTTCAAAACCCCTGTCAAAACATTTTGTTTTTCAGGATTTATTTTGACAGTTTCATTTGTATTTCAACTAATGAGGTTTTTCTTTTTAACTTTTTATTGGCATATAATATACATACAGAAAAATGCACGTGGCTAATGAGTTTTTAACCAAAGCTGATTAAGCTCATTTATTATTTTTGTTACATTCGTATGAAATTTGCTGATCCAAAGGCTTTTTTTTAACCTCTCACATCTCGAAGATATCTAACCTTTACATGTAAGAAGAATGTCAAAACAATCACTTACTTTTTAAAAATTTTACTTTAATTCCAGTGTAGTATAGTTAATATACAGTATTATATTAGTTTCAAGTATACAATATAGTGATTCAGCAATTCTATACATTACTCAGTGCTCATTGTGATAAGTATATTCTTAACCCCCTTCACCTCTTTCACCCATCCCTTCTCTGATAACCATCTGTTCTCTATAGTTAAGACTCTGTTTTTTAGTTTGTCCCTTTTTTTCGTTGTTCGTTTAATCACATACTTTTTAAAAAGTGATCTCATTTCTTGGAAACAAGTTTGTTTCTCCTGGTCCTATAAAGAGGACTGCTCTGGACTGAATTAATATTCCCAACTCCCCCAACAGTTCCATTGTTTTAACCGGCAACTCATTAACTTCCTGATAGTCTCAAGTGATCTAAATTTTTTTTCTGATAGTAACTCATCCATATTCTTAAATAGGTAATTATGTACTTTCAGTAATTAGATGTTAGGTACATGAAGACAGGGTATTGTCAACTACAGGGTGTGTAATCGCTTTGCCTAAACAATCAGATATTAATTGTCCAGGTGCTATTCCTCTGGCTGATAGATTATTTATGGCCTCTGCGTTTTCCTCCTCTTTTCTGCCTAAGTGATCACTCTCCTCCTTTTCTCCTTGTTAGCCTTCTGGCAAAGGGGGTAACAGGCAAATCTAAAATGCTTATAATTCACATCAAGCAGTTCTGTTTGCCATATTACTGTTAGCAACATTTGCCAGGATTTCCTGGGTGATCATTAAGACTGCTTGGTTTAAAAGCTATTAACTGTGTGGATTACAGACAGGTACATGGACCTGGCCATTGTCCTCAGTAACCATACTACCTGACAGATGCATAGATTTAACCATTTCAGATGGTTCATATATAGTGTCATATTTGAGCTCTGCAGTAAGTTGTACACTTGTTACATTTGCATATTCAAAATTGTTTCTCTGCAACCAAACTTACCCAGTTTCCACTATCATTGACATATTATTTTCTTAAGAATGTGGTGCAATTAATTGTGTTGTCTTTCTGCCACCTCTTGGGTCCTCTTTTCCCATACACCCTATTAATTAGTTGACTTGCTCCTTTCTCACATAATTAGGATTCAGTGTTTCTGCTGTTCAGGGATCATAGTTCTTTTCTCCTAGTTCCCCTTTTCTTTGAATAAAACTCTTTCATTATTTTGTGTACATAGTAAGATCCCCTCCCGGCTCACCCCAGGTCATCAATAGCTAACTTTTTTTTTTTTTTTAAGATTTTATTTATTGGGGCGCTTGGGTGGCTCAGTCATTAGGCATCTGCCTTCGGCTCAGGTCATGATCCCGGGGTCCTGGGATCGAGCCCCGCATCAGGCTCCCTGCTTGGCAGGAAGCCTGCTTCTCCCTCTCCCACTCCCCCTGCTTGTGTTCCTGCTCTCGCTATCTCTGTCTCTGTCAAAATAAATAAATAAAATCTTCAAAAAAAGAACCAGAAGGTGACGAGACAGTTTTCTATTATGATATAAAAGGACTCACCCATCAGTTAGTGTGACATCTTGATTGGTAGGTTATTAAAGAAATAATTGTGGTCTCTTTGTTGAAAAGCTTTTTCTTAACTAAGCATAGCAAATAACCTTCCCACTTTTTTCCTTCTAAAGAGCGCACCTATATGAGCGTAGTAAAGCTTCTGACAAAAATGACAAGCTCAGGGTGGGAGGTAGGGTGTGGGAATCAGCAATTCTAGCTGACCTCTTTCCTTTCCAGTTTTCCCACCTGTCTCCCAGGCTTGAACTGGCTCCTTCTCCATCTCTTAGCCAGACTGGCCACGCTGCTGCCACATCAGACCGCTATGGGCTTTTTTCTCCTCACACTCTGTTTGAGTCTGTCCTTTGTCTCCTCATTGAGCTGAAACAAGACTGGCTTTTTCCAAAGTGAACTGCAGTGGAAAATGCCACTTTCTATCCCTCACTATGACCCCCCTTCAAAAACACAGGAGTTCGTAGGGCAGATATTCTTCCTTTGTCCAAAAGTAGCTAAGCCGATCCCCAGATTCGTAGATACTCAAATGAGCCACTGTCCCTTTCCTGGCCCAACCCTCTTAGAAGAAGCCACCCAAATCCTCATCACAGTTCTCAATGGAAGATCACCATGTTCTGAGCAAAAGTCCCTGGTCACCAACATGGGCAGTAGTTGAGAAAGAAGTTGCTGGACTCTCACTGTGACTTTAGCCCAAGTGCAATGAATACCCTCTACAGTCTACGAGTGACCGTTTGTATAAAATAAAGCTGTACCCTGGAATGCTGAGCCTTCTCTCCTATCTTCCTCAATCTCTGCCACCAGTGGAGAAAGGGATGTTTTCCTGCATTCTTCCAGAATGTTCTGTGAGTTCTCCTGATTCTACCAGTCAGCTGTTTCCCACCTCTTTTTGGCATGCTGCTGGGCTTTGTGACACTTAACCTGCCATTCTTGTCAACTTCTCAGTGAGATGCTTACAAAAAGCTTGCAATCAGTGTTTAAGAAAGTAACCTCCAGTTTCTTTATACTGATCTTTGTTTGATGCATTACAGTTTACAGAAGGCTTTATTAAGATATATTGTGGTCATTCACTCTTGACAACTGTCCCTTGAGGTAGGTTGCAGCCTCCAATTAGAGTTCCGAAGCTAGAGAAACAAAGTGACTAAATAAGCAGAGTTGGGAATGGACTTTTGATTCCAAAGTCTTCCCTCTGTATCAGAGCTTCCCTCTCACCATTTAAATTGTGGGATGAACACAACCTTATTTTTGTGCGCTGCCTGGGCTTTCTCTATCCCATACGGAGTGGAAAGCCCCTGTCTCAGACCGAGGAACACATGCCTTGAAAGCAGTTCTGTCGTGCCACATGCTTGCTGAGGTAGGATTCTCAGATCGGTCATCTATCTGTATGTGAAGCGCCCACACGAGCTGTGGGGTCGGGACGCTCGTCTGCGGCACGTTGCCCGCTTGCTCCTCTCTTAGTCCGGTGCTCCCGTGGCTCTGTGATGAACCTGTCCAGTTGACTAGCCTTTCTCCTTGAACATTCCAAGACCGTTTTCCTGTTGGGACTTATGGAGTATTTGGAACAGAATTACCCAGAAAGCTTATTAAAAAATGCCCGTTCCAAGTCCCACCCCACACTTGATACGGAATCTCTGGCAGTGGAGCCAGAGAATATCACTGTGAGTAAGCTCCTCAGATAACTGTATGAATTCTAAGGTTGGAGAATACTCTGAAGATATCATATGTTGTGCTGTAATTTTAATTGACCTTCTCTTTTCTTGATTTTACTTCATATTTCTACTTAATTTACTTGAAGCCTAACCAGCTCTCATCCTTTTCAAGTCCAAGAGCCGTGGTTTCATTCTTAAAGAATGAAAGCCTTAGGGTTCCCTCAACACTGCTAAAGTAAAGGCACTGTGGAGTTTCTGGAGCTTTTTCCAAGATACAGTGTCTGCTGAGCTGGGACTCATGCGCTTGTCAGAGGAAGCCTGGGAGGCTCACCTTGAAGGCAGAGGGAGAGCAGAAGGCACAGCATTAAAGAAGCAAAACTGACTTTCGTTTGCTTGTTTTTAAGAGCGAGGATGAAGAATCCAGCTGCTTCAGTTTGGGGTGGGTCCTGGGAAGGGCTATATCCTGGGCATGTGCTTCATGGTGCCCGGCCAGAGCCACCAGGCTGATTGAGTAGGAGGTCATTCCCACCTGAGGAAGTACTGTGCAGACACTTCTCTTCCTGGGATTTATCAAGAAATGTCACCTTCCTTGGAAAGCTTTATTATTTTCTAGGTAATTAGAACTCAGTATTATAGAACCTGGAAGCTTAGCACCCATAACTCATGTGAGGAGTTGATGAGTGTTGACTTTGACACTTATCCTAAAGCTCAGGACAGAATGCTTCAACATTC